GAGAAAAGTTTGCGTTGGCGACGCGTTATTTCGTTTTGATCGTTTGACTTTTTCGGCTTGACGGATTTTCAGGTATTTTTTTCTCCTTCTTTTTTTCTTTTCTTTCTTTTTTTCACACGCATATTTTGAACGGGGAAGCGAAAGACGAAATGAAAGCTAAATGAGAGGAACGGAGAGAAAGAAGATAAAGGTGGAATGGTGGGAGGAGATGACGAGAGAATGCGCGTGTGCTTGATCGTGGGAGAGTTTAGCCAGCTATTACGATTATAAATTGAGGGGAGAAAAAGAAATATTAGGTAAACATATACGGGGTCTTCTCGTTTAGAGAAGAGTCGCTCCAATTAGATGATCGCAGCATGTATGAGACACAAGGGTTTGACGATGAAAGCTTAGACATAAGTAGAGGATTAGCGAACGGTATATATAAATATAAATATAAATATAAATATAAATATAAATATAAATATAAATATAAATAAATATAAATATAAATAAAATATATATATATAGAACGCTTGAAACGTATATTAATATTATAACTTTTTATAAATATATTTTTCCGTCGAAGTCTAGCCTAGTTGGATACATACACGGTTATTAACGACTATTAATTTATCCGATCTGATTACTATATCGAGGATCTAGCGTTAATTCGAAACATTTTAGACGTCATAGTTTTAAATGATAGGGCGATGTTACACGAAGTGTCGCAAGTGGCTCGGTGGGAGATTCGCGGTAGGGTGTGTAGGAGCCGGAGGAATGAGAAATGATGAAATACATTAGTACCTAACGTTATGAAAATTTAACTACTAGCGTTGAGCCATTAGCAGAGGAGAATGGGTCCGCGGGGCCGCTTCGCCGATCGTTCGTCGATCGCCCTCCGCGAAGTGGCCCCGCGTGCCCCTCTCTCGCGCTTTGTAATTAAGTGAGAAACAAACGAGGGAGTGCGAGAGATCGACGGACAAGCGTCGAAGCGAGCTAGCGAGCGAGTGAGGACTTTGGAGAGTGCGAGCGAAAGAGCGCCGAGAGAGCCAGAAGAAAACGAGTACACACACACACACACACACACACACACAACACACGCGCGCGCACACATCACACATACGTATACATAATCTGCATATACAAGGATCCTTCTTCGTTTCGTTTCTATTCTTCCGTTTGTCCAGAGAGAAAGGAAGAGAGAGAGAGAGAGAGAGTGTGTGTGTGAACGAAAGAAAGTGAATGTGTGAGAGAAGAGAGAGAGAGACAAAAAGA